CTTGCACCCTGAAAAGGTCACTGCATGGTTTTATTATGATCACTGTTGCTTGGTTCAGTGGCTGATGAAACAAATCATGATAAAACTGCCTGCTATCGCAGGCTAGAAAACTGTAAGGGAACATAGTCTGGTCCTCACCCTTGTATAATTATAGGTTGACTAAATGACCTTGCCAAATAATTATAATTTGGCAAGGTCATTTAGTCAACCTACATGTCTGCTCCTTGTTAAAATAATTTGTGTATGATAAATTTTAGACTGCTGGCTGCCAATCTTTTTTCTGAGGGTGAGACAAATGCCAAAGGGTGGTATTGACAAATAGGGGTTGGTGTGAGACGAGAGTTTTCTCGCGAGTGCCACACCCATCACGTCTTGACCCAATCCCTTCTAGCCTGAAATGTCTCACCATATTATCCTTGCCTGATAATTATTTCCGAGAGAAAAACAGACTTGCCAGCAGTCTGGATAACTTTAAAGATTGGCTGCCTAATCCAATCAATGTTGGATAATATTGGAAATAGCGCACAGTATTTGAAAAAGATGGGAGAAGACAAATGGTGAATTCAGAGCTTTGCAAGGTGGTAAGAGTTTTTTTTTCCTGCGAGCCAGAGACTTTTTACTCTGGTTCCAAAGGTTTTATATTTCATATTTCTCAGTTACATGTGAGCCAAAAAGCAGCCAAAACATGATGCTTTATCATTTCAGTAGTAGTGAGAGGGAAAAAGTCTTTGGGACCAGGGTGAAGACTTTCCATCAAAGAAACCAAGACCCCATGAAGGCATCATAAAAACATGTGAGACAGGAACCTGTGACATTTAGTAATATTCTGCGAGACATATTTTTTTTAAAGGACTGTTTGTCACCCCTGTCACCTTAAATTATTCATTTAGCGGTTTGTGTTTGGCTTTCTTCGCCAAGGCAATAATGATTAGTATTCATGTCATCATTAATGTCAACTTAAACAGCTTAACTAATCGCTGTCTGAAACGTTGGGACGCCAAGGAATCATTTTTAGAGCGAATTTTGACAGTTGCGCGTGTGCAACGGTGGCAAAATTCCAGCGTTTTTCCTGCAGGTTTTTGTATTTTGCGAAAAATATGCAAAGTATTCACACCCAATCCGCAGGCGAAACCATGTCGATTTTGTACATTTTTAATGAAAAAAAGTAGGGATGATGAACCGGGCTGCATTAGTTGAAATTTCGTCCCCTTTTACAGGTCGTGATGTGGAACTCGCAAGGAGAATATACGTGGCAATAACCGAACACACCTTTTTAAGGCTTGTAAAGCAATGATTGCATCATTTAACACCGCGTAACCTCTTGCTGTGAAACTTGTGTTTACGTTTTGCTCTTCGCTGATTGGTTAGCTTTCAAAAGGGGCGGGCAAGTTCGTGGCAAAAATAACATGCGAATCACTTGATTGGCTTACCATAGTCACGTGACTATCTCTCAGAATAACAACATTGAACGCGCTGTTGCCCAGAACCAAAACATCGGCAAGCGAAAGATTTGTGGCTTGAAACCTCGCTTATTCGTCAACGGCGAAAAGACCAGTCACCAATTTTTATTCGTCCATGAAAATGTGAAGATTTTTTTGCAAATAATGGCTTCTACTGGAACAGACGATTTTGAAAACGGTTGGACTTTGGTCGACAAGGATGGACAAATTGACATAGTGGTAAGTCTTTCGCTTTTCCAACGCCGGCAATGTTCTGATTTTCCAAGGGTTCTTTAAGGAGCAATGAATATTGCCCGAAGGATTTTGTTCTTTCCTCTTAGATGAATTTATGTAAGCGGTTTAAGGTGGGGTTTTGCAGACGAGAGGACGTTACAACCCAATATTTATATTTGGCTCCGGGATTTTACACCGTTGTCGACCTCTCGCCTTTTAGCGCTGGAGGACATGAGCTTTTCTTACGTATTGGCAACGCAAAAGCGCTCTGCAAGAAATTCTTTTGCACGTTGGTAATATTTCTAGCTAGGTAGGTCGACGATTCAATGGTTTGTTTACAAAACGTGCCCAAGTGCTGAAAAATTTACATTTTCGAACTTGTAGTTTTTTTTTCGCTTGTAAACAGTACTCACGTGATCAAAACAATGTAACAACATCATCTGTAATTACATAAGGTCGGTCATAAGCATTGGCTTACGAGAGGAAAGAGAACACTGCACTTGTCAGATATTCCTCCTTTTTGCAGTTTTTAATACGTATTTGTATATTTTTAAAATACACAATTATTAGTTTGAGTGGCAAGTACAAATAATTATTTTGACTAGCTATGGAGGCACTGTAACTGAATTTTCTTTAGTACTGGATCAAACTTTATAAGGGGTGAAAAAGGGACACCAAATATTGAGAGCACTTTGGGTTGGTAGCTGGTAAAAATAATTATGGACAGATGAAATAATTTTAAGGTCTTTACAAGTTCTGTGCAAAAATTATAATTGTGTAGTTCCAGAAAATATCCATACCCCCCCCCCCCCNGACACACAAAGCTATGTTTGTTTTGGATGCTGGGATCGAAACATAACTTTCTACCACAGTTGTCCCTCCCCCAGAAAATGCAAATGCTTGGTTCCAGAAAAAATCCATACCCCCCCTGTACGGAGGGTCACGGAAATTCCGAGGGGTAGGGGGTCTGAAAGAGGTAAATTTCTGAAGGGGAGGGGGGCAACTCAAGGAGTTTTCTTTCCAGTGGGTCTGAAATGTGTTGTACGAAAGACAGCAATCCAGAGTATTGTGTTTGTTAGATGTCAAGTTGAACAAAATGCCAATGAAGAGGTGCAGCAATACATGAACAATGAAGTTGATGATATTTTATACTTCGAAGATTGTGCTGTATTTAGCTTAAATGCAGCTCAGATGCTTTTTCCAGCTTTAATCATGCCGTCGATTAAATGCGATTGTACTTTGTTTATTTCGTTTGATACTCGTACAAAATTACTCCCCGTTTCGGACTTGCCATAATGAGGTTATCACATATTTTTCATTGTTATCCATGTAGTTAATACAGTAGTTTGCTTTAAGGTTACAGTATACCTTCAGGGATGTCTTGCGCGCAAGCGATGTAGCGTGTGCAGTTTAAGCTGTAGATAACTAAACCCCTATATCAAATTAAAGCTTATGGAGCTGGCTATCAAACTATACCAAGAATTTTGAAAGAAAATGAATTGNAGTAGTTTGCTTTAAGTGAGCAAAGTCGATTCAAAGCCATTTCTCTTGAACTATATGTAAACGTGGACAGCGAGGAGCATTGTAATTGAAGCGGTAGCTGAGATTTCATTCAGTCATTTATAGACCAACTGAACAATGCATGTTTCACGTATGAAATGTATGACAATTCAGAAAACGTAGTCTGTGTCACAGCTGCCTCTCCCGCAGAAAAAAAATGATTTTTTTCTGCGGCTGTGACACAGGCTAAAAAAGCTAAGGCATAAAATGAATTTCCTATCATTTACAAACTACAGTGACAAAGTGTATGATTTAATTGATGTATTCCTTTCAATTGGTGAAAGAAAAAATAAAGCGACATTTGGGAAACAGGTATTTTGAAAAAAATATTGCATGACGACTTTACTGCATGTGTAAAGTAATTTGATATGTTGTTTTGACCATGCTTAAATTAAAACTTGAACTCGGTTGTTTGAAAGAGCTTTATGTACGTTCTAAGATTCTTATATGAAAACGTCCTTTAATGAAGAAAAAGTCAGTTGTTCATTAGTTTAAACACTGGTTCAAACATTTTAACATGACATGAAGGAATGCGCCGTGTCTGCAGTCTACCATGAAAAAGTAAGTCTTTGTCTACAATGTAACTATAAACAGCTGCGGTTAAGTTTTATTACAATTAATTAGTTAAGTTGTGATCATCGCTTTTCCGGCGTGTGTGAGTCAATTGAAAATCGAGCATGTAATCAGCTACAATCACAGCAAGAATATATTTGGTTAAAAGGTGAAATTGTGAGTTCTTCAGTGTCTCAGAGAATTCGTGACAGGGCAGTTGACAGGGCAACTTAAAAATTCCCCACAGGGTAGGGGGGCCCAAGTAGAAAAATCATGGAAATTTCAGGGGGTGGGGAGAGTACTGTGAAGCCCCCTGGAACGGAAAATCCTCTCCCCTCCAGAATTTCCTGTGATGTGGGAATGGATATTTTCTGGAACACATTGTACATTTTATTAACAGGGTAATTTTGTTCAAGATTGGGGGGGTGGGGTGGTAATCAGCTTGTAGGGTTATTTTGTGGGGAAGAGAAGAGCTTTATGATATTTTACATTTGGCGTGAGAGATAGGCAGTTATTAACAGTTCCCCTTCACTTATTCTCTCGCGTTGTTAGTAATGATTAGTTAAGGTTCCAAGTGGCCAGTTCAAGTTGTCACACTTTAATGGTTGTATTGTACAAGCCAGGTTCTACAACTGAACAGAATGGCAGTTAACTAATGAGAATGACAGTGAAGAGATTGATTGACATATTTTTTTTTTCCAGCCAAGGAAGAATTCTGTGTCTTATTCAAAGTCACCATCAGGAGAGGATAGTGTAGTTTCCACTTTGCATTCACCCACCAAAGATGACAGTGAGGGTGAGGCAGAGTTTGAGGTTCTTAGTGGATTTCAGTGTGATCCACCATTAGAGGCAGAGAGCATCCAGGCAGCATTAAAAACTACTCAAGGTGAAAATGATCTTCCACATCACCTGGAGTCTGAAACTGAAGATGAGTTGGAGGCAGTTCACCAGAGCTCATGCCAGTGTGCTGCAGAAGATGGAATTATGATCATTTCAAATCACTTTTGTTTGGACCAGGATGTTTCTCCTGCTGGAGATATGACCGCAGAAAACCCAGTGCCTTCTACATGTGACCAGCAAAGTCAGCAAAGTCTGGTGTCCTCTACTCTTTCCTCAGACAGTAGCGCTGATAGTTGGCGGGAGTTGCCGCAGCTCTCAGAAAGTGGTTCTTTCCTGTTCAGCAATGACTCAAACAGCTCAGAAGAAGATAATGCCATTGAGCCTATACCTGAAGATGAGGAAGAAAGCCAAGAGTTTGTTGACCTAAGTCATAAAACAGACCCATTGCAAGAAATGGTGGAGTCTACTTGCAGTGTGTTCTCATTTGACAGTGATCTGTTCAGTCCAAGTGATGTAGATGAAGATGTTGTCCATGAAGAAGATTGCTCAGATGTAACAGATGTGTCTGAAGTCAGTGACGAAGACAAAGAGAGAGATCAGGACCTAGAGAAAGTGGAAGAAGTAGATGATCATCTTATTGCAAAAAGCAGAGATGATGCCAGTGCATTCCATGTAGATATCCCAACCTTGTTTGTTGTTCTTGGTGTGACAACAGCTCTGGGATTTAGCATTGGCTATGGTAGGAACAACTGCCATTTTTGTCTTCATTAAATGTAATATTGTTAATGTTATGCGTGTAGTCTTTGTTTGATTGCTTTTGTTACCTTAATTTGTATGTCAATGTGTGGTGATGTTTACTTTATCACATGTTGTTGCCCACTAAGTTGTTGTCAATAAGTAAACTGGGCATGTTTAAAATGCAAAATGGCAAAAAGGCACTGCAGGTTAGCCTAAATATCACTGACTTGACAGTGATTAGCTCTCAATAGTTGTAAAGTAACCCTTACAAACTCCTGTATCCCACTGTGACTCTTACTTGTAGTGCCATTTCGTCATTTTGCCATTTCGTGTTTTAAACATTTATGCCCAAATAAACCAACTGTTAACTGTAATACCTAAAACCAGAGAATACAGGAATTCTTCTCTTTTGCCTCCAGCTTTTTCTGATACTTTGTTCAAGATTTATTGAATTTAACACTGATTACGTCGCATATCTTTGGTTGACAGGGCTCAGTGTATATGTTAGTAACCAAGCCTTGGAAGTCTCTGGAAGCATTAAGAGACCTGGGCCCAAGACATCAACATCTTCTCTTCTACTCACTTCTGATCCAATGGAGCCCTTGGGTGAAGTGTCACGTGATTTCCTGGATCAGCTGGCATTGTGGAAATTAGAAGGTCGTCTTGAAGCTCCACAAGATCAAGAGCCTGAAACTGAAATGGAAGATCTGTTTGACACAAAAGCATTGCATGAAAAACTCCAGCTAAAACACTTCAAGCTCATGGGATTGCACGAAAGCATGAAACAGCGCTTGCGTATGGCCAAAGTTATGTCATGGTACTGGCGACTGAAATATGAAGAAGAAAGGTCGATTAAAGAAGGAAGTGAACGGAGCAAAGCCTTGCAGGAGCAGCTTCACGACATGGAGAAGTTGTACCAGCGAGAAAAGCAAATTGCTGACTTATGGCGTCAAATGAACAAGAACACAAAGTTAAGACGAGCTGTTGCTGTTGGCACCAAGTTTGACATGTAAGTGTAGCTCACTGATGCTTAATGCTTTGTTTGGTTTCATTTACTTATTTTCTCCTCAATCCAAAAAATATGAACCTCTTACTAATGTGAAACACGAACAAAAGGGCTCTACTGGGGAATGTTGGGCTGAGGTCGTGGCTTTACAGACTTCGCTGGGCTCAGTTCATACAAAAATGACCGAGGGTCAATATTCACTATTATTATATGGCTGTGTCTCACAAGGACTGGGAACTACCGAATTCACAAATTTGATTGGCTGAAATCGATATCGTAAGCGGTCTAGATTTTCCCATCTAGACCAGCATCTAGACCGGTTACATTTTGTGGTGAAAAGTTGCAAACTGAAATGCAAAAATATTGACTAGTTTCTTCTAACCATATTTATATGTGGAAGTGCCAAAAACCCTGATGAGAAAAAAAGTATAGAGGATGAGCAAACTTTGGCAGAATTAAGTTCGGCTCATCGCCATTCGCAATCAAAATGTCAGCTAGTTCAAACCAGTTACGAATTTAGAAATTGTTCTTGTTTGCCATAATAAACATCATATTAACTGAGCTTAGTTGGTCTGTATGGGAGAATCTTAACCTTGGTCATGTGTACGACCTTGGTCAAGATTTTCCTATNTCTAGATTTTCCCATCTAGACCAGCATCTAGACCGGTTACATTTTGTGGTGAAAAGTTGCAAACTGAAATTCAAAAATATTAACTAGTTTCTTCTAACCATATTTATATATGGAAGTGCCAAAAACCCTGATGAGAAAAAAAGTATAGAGGACGAGCAAACTTTGGCAGAATTACGTTCGGCTCATTGCCATTCACAAGCAAAATGTCAGCTAGTTCAAACCAGTTACGAATTTAGAAATTGTTCTTGTTTGCCATAATAAACAAGCTTAGTTGGTCTGTATGGGAGAATCTTAACCTTGGTCATGTGTACGACCTTGGTCAAGATTTTCCTATACAGACCTCCTGCTCGGTTTATAAGAACTAAGTATGGCTCAACCAAGCTTGGCCAGGAAGTAGTTTATTATATGACACTTGAATTTGGAAGCTTTCAAAAACAAACAATGCACACTTATATTAAACTGTTTCTATGAAAATGGTCGGTATGGCAAAATCCCTACCAGGAAAGCAGCAATCACAATGCTCAGGTTTACCTCAAGACTACCTTGCCATGTAATAAATTAGTGTATTTAAAGCATTTGTGAACCACCAGGGCCTGTGGGACTTGCCTATAACAGTTTTAGGGGGTACTCATTGGAAAATGGAAAAGAATCCCTTAAAGGTACCAGAATCTTGTTTTGTATGTGAGGATCCGAGTCATGTTGACCTTTGAGGGGTACCAGTACCAAAGCAGCAAATTAACTTGCACTGTCATTTTTTTGGCCTGAAATATCCCAAAAGCTACCACAATAATGGCAGTCATTTTTGATTTTAGATAAGTATCCCAAGTGATATCAACCTTTAAATAGGTACCGTATGTCTACTATCCCCGTTATTTTTATCTGCAATTTCCCTGAGGGACCGTTGCAGGTAACTGTCCTTGGATCAGTCGTTAGGTTCTTGTGGGGTTTTCTCACTCATCATTTTTTAAATACTTATTTGTGTCCCTGTTATAGAGAGCGAAAATCTTGTCAAAGAACACAATAAGGTAAAAGCTTCCGACAGTTATCAGAAAGTGCTTATACACGAAGGCAATTACACGCATTTGCTGAATGAGGAAAATTCTTTTGCTTTGTATTGTATGGCAGGCAATGGAGGGATTTCCTGCATCGCTGGAAAAAAGGCGAAGAGGGAAATCCGGGTGTAAACCATAGTCAGATGGTGACAGATTCAACGGAGCTTTACGAAACTCTAGCAAAGAAAGAGCTTGCTGAGATCCCTGTTGTTCAAGACCCGGAGGTGAGTAAGGCGGAAAGTGAGACTGTGCACACTGGTAACAGTATATGGTTGAACTTCAGAGATCGGTGGACTAAAGACTCTCAGATGAAGGGACGTGTGCAAGAAAGCTCTTCAAAAAGCGAGAGGTGCGCATCTGGGGACCCCGAAAGAAAAGATTTGACTAAGTTCTTTGGACAAATTTATTCAATGATGCTCCCTCCTTTGTCAGCGAAGGCCGTTCCCGAACGTAGGGCAGCCATAAAGATACAGTCGTTTGGCGAACATAGCGGAGAGAGTTATAGTGAAAAGAATTCTGAAGAAATCTTCGAGACGAGATCGGCAGATTTCAAAGAAGGGGTACCCTTTGAAAATCCACTATTTCCAAACGGGGTATTTTCTTCTAGCATCAGATGGCGACGAATTCATGGGAAAACAGGTGCCAAGACAAATTTGAAAAGAGATGACAATATGAAAGTGTACCCCCAAGCGCTTCAAATCTTCCGGGGGTTAACACATCTGTTCATCGCTCCTGAAAATGCAAAGGGAGTCTGTCAGCGCATCGAGTCTTACAAAGAACTTGCGCTGAGAAAATGCGGGAAAGAGACCGTTGTCCAAAAATATGGACCAGAAAGGCGAAGCGAGAAACAAGAAACCACTGGCGATGGGCGGTTCCTGACCAAGGAGAAACAGAAACTGAGAAATTTATCCAAGCTCCGAGGAGAAGAGATACGTAAACAGAGAATCCAACGGCGCGAGTGGAAAAAGAAGCAGAGAGAAGCTGAATCGCGCCGTAAAGTGTTAAAGCGTCTCTTGTCAGAGTTACGGCGAGAAAAGCTTCGCGTAAAGGGGGAGAAGAAGAAGTTGCGACGTTCATGGAAAAAGTTAAAACGAGAGAGGAAGAAGATTTACCTCGAAAGAGAACACCATAAGAAGAATACGGAAAAACTTAAGAATTTCTTGGCGACATTGAGAGAAGAAAAGCAAAAGTTTAAAAGACAGAAAGCTCAGCTAAATGAGAAGGTGAAAAAATTGTTAGCCAAAGAGAGGGAAAATCTGAAGGTCAGAGAAAAAGCTTTGGATGCTCAGAAGAGAAAAGAAGTGGAGCGGCTAAGAAATGAAATTTTTAAGGAGAAGAACAAGTTAAGACATCAGAGGAAAGAATTAAAATCTTTACAAAAAGCCACAAAAAAGAAGTATAGAAAATGGTTTAAGAAACTGCGTAAAATAAAGAGGCAAGAGCAAGAAAAAAGAAAGGCGAAACAGGCGAAAAGGAAAGAAAAAGAGAGGAAAAAACTAGAAAAAGTTGAAAGAGAGATGCGGCGAAAGAGAGAATATGAATCTGTTGTTCGAGAACAAGCGAAGTATGAGAAAGAAAAACGTAATAGGAAGGGAGAATACGGAGACCATACAGTGACAAGGGATGAATGGAAGAAAACGGACAATAACTTGAAACAAGATGAATCAGTCGTACATGAGAGAGATTCTGAGAAAAAAGAGAAGAAAAGTGACCCGAGAGAGTCGTTTAGGCAGCAGTTAGAAAATGTTAAAAGGTGGCTGTCTGAAGTACACAAAGCTGCAATAGAGCGACAACAGATTTACTGGTCAGGAACTTTGATAAGACCTATTTTAAACGCTATCAGTGGAAGGGCTGCCAAATCTGAATCGTACGGAGAGGAAGCGGGTGATATGAAAGATGAAGAATTTGAACGGCGTGATACAAACTCTGCTGAGGTAAAGGAAAGTAAACAAACTAGCCATCGCGGGGACACGGCCGGAAGAAGCCAATGGGAAAATGGAAGAGTAGAGATGAGAAAGATCATGTCAAAAATGGAGAAACGCGGCTGCGAACTGAAAGAAAATGAAAAGAGGGAAATGGCCGTTAGTAAGACGGAGGTGGCGAAGATATCGGATGATAAATCCCTGATGGGCGTTACAAACTTAACGTTTGGGGCTGACTTTGTGAAAATGCTGCTAAAGGGGATTGAGAAGCAAAACCGCGAAGATAAAATGAATCGGGATTCCGACGGAGCGGCAGAAAGTACGACTTTTATCATAGTCTCTGAAGAATCAGATGACCACGATTCTAGCGCCGGTTTAAATGACGAAAGGAAAAAGTCGGGTCGAAAACGGCAGCGTTCCGATAGCAAACCAAAGCGTCCCAATGACAGATTGAGGAGCCACCAGAACTGGTCGGATAAGAACGATGATACTGCAAAGCGACCTAGAGAGTCGCCGCAAGGTCCGATCGGTTCCGAAGATAGCCAATTGGCCTCTGAAAATTTGTACGAACACCCATCGACAGCGCATAACGTTCGTTACAAATTATCATCGGAAGGTCCGACGCCACCCAACGATATCGGATTGTCTCTCGAAGAACGATACGAGAGAAGATTCGGGATGCCGAAAAATAAACGGAAGCCAGTAACCCCGCAAGGGCCAATTTTATCTGACGAGGTGCATCAGGGGCACCCGAGAAAAGGAAAGAAGAGAAAGAGAAGGCAACGTAGCGAAGTACAGGACAAAGTATGTAGTTCAGATAATCCAGAGAAACGCGAGTCCATTCCACCCCCTGACTGGGTATTTGAACGCGCCAAGGGTCGCACCCATCAGCGGTCTGCCCCATGGTATGTTCGTCGGGCGGAAGATCGGGAGTTCCAGCGAAGCGTTGACAAACATGATTCCCAGTTCCCCTGCGGTCGAAAACGCAAACACTATAAAGGTCCTCTGGACCCTTCATGGTTTTTCGATCGAGCTGACGATCGCGAATTTCAGCGGTTAAACAATATACCGTGGTACACCCGACGCGCAGAGGGGCGTGAGACCGAGCGTAAGAAGGGACAGGATTCATGGTTCGTGGAACGCGGGTTCTACAGAAGCTACCTGCGCGATTTAAGCTCCTGGTACAGTGATGAAACCTGGATGCCTCAGGGGCCGTCCATGGAAGAACATCGCTGACAATAGAGGTCACTTCTGTTTGTATTAGAACTATATGAACGGGTTAGTTGAGCTATGGAAACGTTCGTTCACGGTTTTGCAATTTATTTAGTTTGAGAATGGTAAGCATTTCGCCCTATAAGGTTATCGTAGTTTTAGACTCCGCCCAAAACTGAAAGTTTATGCAATAAGGTGTTTACCACTGAATACCCCTAGGGATGCACAAAAATCTTAACTTCCTTATAGCATATACCGTTTTTACCTACTAATTTATGGTTTCTGCGTGGTTTTAAGAACCTGGGAAGACTCCTTTGCTGGTGCCAGAAAAAANTCTGAAGTCAGTGACGAAGACAAAGAGAGAGATCAGGACCTAGAGAAAGTGGAAGAAGTAGATGATCATCTTATTGCAAAAAGCAGAGATGATGCCAGTGCATTCCATGTAGATATCCCAACCTTGTTTGTTGTTCTTGGTGTGACAACAGCTCTGGGATTTAGCATTGGCTATGGTAGGAACAACTGCCATTTTTGTCTTCATTAAATGTAATATTGTTAATGTTATGCGTGTAGTCTTTGTTTGATTGCTTTTGTTACCTTAATTTGTATGTCAATGTGTGGTGATGTTTACTTTATCACATGTTGTTGCCCACTAAGTTGTTGTCAATAAGTAAACTGGGCATGTTTAAAATGCAAAATGGCAAAAAGGCACTGCAGGTTAGCCTAAATATCACTGACTTGACAGTGATTAGCTCTCAATAGTTGTAAAGTAACCCTTACAAACTCCTGTATCCCACTGTGACTCTTACTTGTAGTGCCATTTCGTCATTTTGCCATTTCGTGTTTTAAACATTTATGCCCAAATAAACCAACTGTTAACTGTAATACCTAAAACCAGAGAATACAGGAATTCTTCTCTTTTGCCTCCAGCTTTTTCTGATACTTTGTTCAAGATTTATTGAATTTAACACTGATTACGTCGCATATCTTTGGTTGACAGGGCTCAGTGTATATGTTAGTAACCAAGCCTTGGAAGTCTCTGGAAGCATTAAGAGACCTGGGCCCAAGACATCAACATCTTCTCTTCTACTCACTTCTGATCCAATGGAGCCCTTGGGTGAAGTGTCACGTGATTTCCTGGATCAGCTGGCATTGTGGAAATTAGAAGGTCGTCTTGAAGCTCCACAAGATCAAGAGCCTGAAACTGAAATGGAAGATCTGTTTGACACAAAAGCATTGCATGAAAAACTCCAGCTAAAACACTTCAAGCTCATGGGATTGCACGAAAGCATGAAACAGCGCTTGCGTATGGCCAAAGTTATGTCATGGTACTGGCGACTGAAATATGAAGAAGAAAGGTCGATTAAAGAAGGAAGTGAACGGAGCAAAGCCTTGCAGGAGCAGCTTCACGACATGGAGAAGTTGTACCAGCGAGAAAAGCAAATTGCTGACTTATGGCGTCAAATGAACAAGAACACAAAGTTAAGACGAGCTGTTGCTGTTGGCACCAAGTTTGACATGTAAGTGTAGCTCACTGATGCTTAATGCTTTGTTTGGTTTCATTTACTTATTTTCTCCTCAATCCAAAAAATATGAACCTCTTACTAATGTGAAACACGAACAAAAGGGCTCTACTGGGGAATGTTGGGCTGAGGTCGTGGCTTTACAGACTTCGCTGGGCTCAGTTCATACAAAAATGACCGAGGGTCAATATTCACTATTATTATATGGCTGTGTCTCACAAGGACTGGGAACTACCGAATTCACAAATTTGATTGGCTGAAATCGATATCGTAAGCGGTCTAGATTTTCCCATCTAGACCAGCATCTAGACCGGTTACATTTTGTGGTGAAAAGTTGCAAACTGAAATGCAAAAATATTGACTAGTTTCTTCTAACCATATTTATATGTGGAAGTGCCAAAAACCCTGATGAGAAAAAAAGTATAGAGGATGAGCAAACTTTGGCAGAATTAAGTTCGGCTCATCGCCATTCGCAATCAAAATGTCAGCTAGTTCAAACCAGTTACGAATTTAGAAATTGTTCTTGTTTGCCATAATAAACATCATATTAACTGAGCTTAGTTGGTCTGTATGGGAGAATCTTAACCTTGGTCATGTGTACGACCTTGGTCAAGATTTTCCTATACAGACCTCCTGCTCGGTTTATAAGAACTAAGTATGGCTCAACCAAGCTTGGCCAGGAAGTAGTTTATTATATGACACTTGAATTTGGAAGCTTTCAAAAACAAACAATGCACACTTATATTAAACTGTTTCTATGAAAATGGTCGGTATGGCAAAATCCCTACCAGGAAAGCAGCAATCACAATGCTCAGGTTTACCTCAAGACTACCTTGCCATGTAATAAATTAGTGTATTTAAAGCATTTGTGAACCACCAGGGCCTGTGGGACTTGCCTATAACAGTTTTAGGGGGTACTCATTGGAAAATGGAAAAGAATCCCTTAAAGGTACCAGAATCTTGTTTTGTATGTGAGGATCCGAGTCATGTTGACCTTTGAGGGGTACCAGTACCAAAGCAGCAAATTAACTTGCACTGTCATTTTTTTGGCCTGAAATATCCCAAAAGCTACCACAATAATGGCAGTCATTTTTGATTTTAGATAAGTATCCCAAGTGATATCAACCTTTAAATAGGTACCGTATGTCTACTATCCCCGTTATTTTTATCTGCAATTTCCCTGAGGGACCGTTGCAGGTAACTGTCCTTGGATCAGTCGTTAGGTTCTTGTGGGGTTTTCTCACTCATCATTTTTTAAATACTTATTTGTGTCCCTGTTATAGAGAGCGAAAATCTTGTCAAAGAACACAATAAGGTAAAAGCTTCCGACAGTTATCAGAAAGTGCTTATACACGAAGGCAATTACACGCATTTGCTGAATGAGGAAAATTCTTTTGCTTTGTATTGTATGGCAGGCAATGGAGGGATTTCCTGCATCGCTGGAAAAAAGGCGAAGAGGGAAATCCGGGTGTAAACCATAGTCAGATGGTGACAGATTCAACGGAGCTTTACGAAACTCTAGCAAAGAAAGAGCTTGCTGAGATCCCTGTTGTTCAAGACCCGGAGGTGAGTAAGGCGGAAAGTGAGACTGTGCACACTGGTAACAGTATATGGTTGAACTTCAGAGATCGGTGGACTAAAGACTCTCAGATGAAGGGACGTGTGCAAGAAAGCTCTTCAAAAAGCGAGAGGTGCGCATCTGGGGACCCCGAAAGAAAAGATTTGACTAAGTTCTTTGGACAAATTTATTCAATGATGCTCCCTCCTTTGTCAGCGAAGGCCGTTCCCGAACGTAGGGCAGCCATAAAGATACAGTCGTTTGGCGAACATAGCGGAGAGAGTTATAGTGAAAAGAATTCTGAAGAAATCTTCGAGACGAGATCGGCAGATTTCAAAGAAGGGGTACCCTTTGAAAATCCACTATTTCCAAACGGGGTATTTTCTTCTAGCATCAGATGGCGACGAATTCATGGGAAAACAGGTGCCAAGACAAATTTGAAAAGAGATGACAATATGAAAGTGTACCCCCAAGCGCTTCAAATCTTCCGGGGGTTAACACATCTGTTCATCGCTCCTGAAAATGCAAAGGGAGTCTGTCAGCGCATCGAGTCTTACAAAGAACTTGCGCTGAGAAAATGCGGGAAAGAGACCGTTGTCCAAAAATATGGACCAGAAAGGCGAAGCGAGAAACAAGAAACCACTGGCGATGGGCGGTTCCTGACCAAGGAGAAACAGAAACTGAGAAATTTATCCAAGCTCCGAGGAGAAGAGATACGTAAACAGAGAATCCAACGGCGCGAGTGGAAAAAGAAGCAGAGAGAAGCTGAATCGCGCCGTAAAGTGTTAAAGCGTCTCTTGTCAGAGTTACGGCGAGAAAAGCTTCGCGTAAAGGGGGAGAAGAAGAAGTTGCGACGTTCATGGAAAAAGTTAAAACGAGAGAGGAAGAAGATTTACCTCGAAAGAGAACACCATAAGAAGAATACGGAAAAACTTAAGAATTTCTTGGCGACATTGAGAGAAGAAAAGCAAAAGTTTAAAAGACAGAAAGCTCAGCTAAATGAGAAGGTGAAAAAATTGTTAGCCAAAGAGAGGGAAAATCTGAAGGTCAGAGAAAAAGCTTTGGATGCTCAGAAGAGAAAAGAAGTGGAGCGGCTAAGAAATGAAATTTTTAAGGAGAAGAACAAGTTAAGACATCAGAGGAAAGAATTAAAATCTTTACAAAAAGCCACAAAAAAGAAGTATAGAAAATGGTTTAAGAAACTGCGTAAAATAAAGAGGCAAGAGCAAGAAAAAAGAAAGGCGAAACAGGCGAAAAGGAAAGAAAAAGAGAGGAAAAAACTAGAAAAAGTTGAAAGAGAGATGCGGCGAAAGAGAGAATATGAATCTGTTGTTCGAGAACAAGCGAAGTATGAGAAAGAAAAACGTAATAGGAAGGGAGAATACGGAGACCATACAGTGACAAGGGATGAATGGAAGAAAACGGACAATAACTTGAAACAAGATGAATCAGTCGTACATGAGAGAGATTCTGAGAAAAAAGAGAAGAAAAGTGACCCGAGAGAGTCGTTTAGGCAGCAGTTAGAAAATGTTAAAAGGTGGCTGTCTGAAGTACACAAAGCTGCAATAGAGCGACAACAGATTTACTGGTCAGGAACTTTGATAAGACCTATTTTAAACGCTATCAGTGGAAGGGCTGCCAAATCTGAATCGTACGGAGAGGAAGCGGGTGATATGAAAGATGAAGAATTTGAACGGCGTGATACAAACTCTGCTGAGGTAAAGGAAAGTAAACAAACTAGCCATCGCGGGGACACGGCCGGAAGAAGCCAATGGGAAAATGGAAGAGTAGAGATGAGAAAGATCATGTCAAAAATGGAGAAACGCGGCTGCGAACTGAAAGAAAATGAAAAGAGGGAAATGGCCGTTAGTAAGACGGAGGTGGCGAAGATATCGGATGATAAATCCCTGATGGGCGTTACAAACTTAACGTTTGGGGCTGACTTTGTGAAAATGCTGCTAAAGGGGATTGAGAAGCAAAACCGCGAAGATAAAATGAATCGGGATTCCGACGGAGCGGCAGAAAGTACGACTTTTATCATAGTCTCTGAAGAATCAGATGACCACGATTCTAGCGCCGGTTTAAATGACGAAAGGAAAAAGTCGGGTCGAAAACGGCAGCGTTCCGATAGCAAACCAAAGCGTCCCAATGACAGATTGAGGAGCCACCAGAACTGGTCGGATAAGAACGATGATACTGCAAAGCGACCTAGAGAGTCGCCGCAAGGTCCGATCGGTTCCGAAGATAGCCAATTGGCCTCTGAAAATTTGTACGAACACCCATCGACAGCGCATAACGTTCGTTACAAATTATCATCGGAAGGTCCGACGCCACCCAACGATATCGGATTGTCTCTCGAAGAACGATACGAGAGAAGATTCGGGATGCCGAAAAATAAACGGAAGCCAGTAACCCCGCAAGGGCCAATTTTATCTGACGAGGTGCATCAGGGGCACCCGAGAAAAGGAAAGAAGAGAAAGAGAAGGCAACGTAGCGAAGTACAGGACAAAGTATGTAGTTCAGATAATCCAGAGAAACGCGAGTCCATTCCACCCCCTGACTGGGTATTTGAACGCGCCAAGGGTCGCACCCATCAGCGGTCTGCCCCATGGTATGTTCGTCGGGCGGAAGATCGGGAGTTCCAGCGAAGCGTTGACAAACATGATTCCCAGTTCCCCTGCGGTCGAAAACGCAAACACTATAAAGGTCCTCTGGACCCTTCATGGTTTTTCGATCGAGCTGACGATCGCGAATTTCAGCGGTTAAACAATATACCGTGGTACACCCGACGCGCAGAGGGGCGTGAGACCGAGCGTAAGAAGGGACAGGATTCATGGTTCGTGGAACGCGGGTTCTACAGAAGCTACCTGCGCGATTTAAGCTCCTGGTACAGTGATGAAACCTGGATGCCTCAGGGGCCGTCCATGGAAGAACATCGCTGACAATAGAGGTCACTTCTGTTTGTATTAGAACTATATGAACGGGTTAGTTGAGCTATGGAAACGTTCGTTCACGGTTTTGCAATTTATTTAGTTTGAGAATGGTAAGCATTTCGCCCTATAAGGTTATCGTAGTTTTAGACTCCGCCCAAAACTGAAAGTTTATGCAATAAGGTGTTTACCACTGAATACCCCTAGGGATGCACAAAAATCTTAACTTCCTTATAGCATATACCGTTTTTACCTACTAATTTATGGTTTCTGCGTGGTTTTAAGAACCTGGGAAGACTCCTTTGCTGGTGCCAGAAAAAAATTCTACGAACCCCCAGAAAGGGGTTAAGCAGAACCGACCGTTGTGCAACATGTTTTCACTTTTTATGGCATGTCGATTCGCGCAAAAAACATTCTCGTCCCCAGAGGGCGCGCTCCTTTTGGTCAGCACCAAGAATCGCGACCTCTGGTAAGGTCCGACACCGGAAGTCCGCGATTCACGGACTTCCCGTCAGTCTGCGCATGCTCAGAGTCAAGTCTGACAAATCTGATTGGCTGAGAGTACGAAACGATTACCCTGCGCATGCTCAGAAAATTGGACCTTTCCAGAGGTCGCGATTCTTGTTGCTGACCAAAAGGAGCGCGGCCTCTGGGGACGAAAATGCACGAAAAAGGGACTGGTTTGGACACTAAAAAGAAAAAACGTTTCTGCGCAGAACACTGTGCAAACCATGTCAATAATCCATCTTTTCGTTACAACACCGAGTCTCCATTTTCGGGCTTTCTCCCATCAGCAGCCGCAGGTTGGTAAACCAAATAATCTAAAAGGAAATTAGGCCACGTGTCCGCCTAATTGCGTTATTGCAGCGTATTGTCATAGGCGCAGTGATAGGAAAAGAAAAGAAAATTAGTTACCACTTACAGACTGCTCTTCGTCTGACAACTCTTCTCCAAAGAAGGAATTTATGAGTGCGACATAGATCTTGAATTTCGAGTAATGTTACTTGTCCTGTTATTTCACCAAAATTTTAATTCACTTTGTTTCCAAGAGGTAGGTGGTATACGAAAGACAAATTTACAAAAAACTAAAAAATCATCGAAAAAATGAACTATCTTTTAATACTAATTTTACTAACGACAGGTGAACATCTGTGGAACCTTGAACATCGATATTTGTGAAGTTACATCCTGTAGATATCGGGAAAACGCCCAGTGTCTCGAAAAAAGAAAAAGGAAGACATCGCCTCTTAAATGGACTGACGTACAGATTTTCAGAGTATTTTAGTGCTGCCCACGTTAAATAAGGTCTTTACTACAATGCTAACTTGGAGGCCTGGTGGCTTCATGGTTAGTGCGCCCGACTCCGGATCGCGCGTTCCGGGTTCGAGCCCTGGCCAGGGACACCGTGTTGTGTTCTTGGACAAGACAATTTACTCACAGTGCCTCTCTCCACCCAGGTGTTAAAATTGGTACCGTAACTCTGCAATGGACTAGCATCCCATCCGGNGAGAGTAGAAATACTCCTAGTCGCTTCATGCGACAGAAACCGGGATAAGCTCCGGCCTTATGTGCCACTTGGCTCGTGTACAGACTTTGCCTTTACCTGTAATACTAACGTACTAATTTTCAGGGGGTAATTGTAGACAAGGACAATCGACTTGAAACGTCAACTATCCGAAACGAATCGACTCAAATTGGACATGGGTGGGAAATATCAGCTTGTGAAAATCACGATCAAAACTGAACAATTGAGAACGTAATGAAACAACCATGACTTGTCACCAAGGGTTTGGTCAATTTTGTAACTTATCTCTTATTCATTTCTGTCATTCAGCCCTTTCATCTCGGATAATCATAAGAACCTGAAATAATATCCGCAAAAATTAACCATTAAACTTTGGTAACCATATTGGGACTGGAAAGCATAAAGTAATATATTTCAAGAACGAGGAGTTCCAAGGAAATTTTACTAATGTAGATAGCTTCTTATCTCAATTCTTTCTTATCTACGTAACTTCTTTTTTCACTGGCGTAATTTAGGTTATTTGATGTATTTGAAAATTTTCAACTTTGGAGAGCTGTTACCAGTCATTTTGTACCACGTGACAAACGAGTTGCCAAAACTCAAAGGAGCAACGTCATGGTTCGCGCATCTTGAAAAGTTGTCCTAAGTTTTTCAAGTTCGTCGTTTGTAATCCGAGTTAATCTTCGTCACCCTTAACCATCCTTGGTCCTCTATGGGTTATTATTATCTCTTTGGTGTTTTTCTATGGTAGTAAACTACTATTTCCATGTTTCCTTCAATTTAAAGGTAATTTACTACTTGGCCGAAATAACTCAAAATGCCGTGACTGAGCTCCTTTAACATTCCCTCCCATGATGATGAACACCAAAACCATGTGGAACGCTTATGACTCAAGTTTTCTAGACTTTGTTGCCGTTTTATCGCACTAAAGTTGAATATTTTGAAAAAAAACTCGACGCATATTAGATAGGGTTATAAGCAAATACATCCCATTTCGTGTTGTGTTAAAATTTTCTCAAACCAGCATTTGCAGATAACTCACACAAGTACACTTTTAACCACTAAATTTATTATATTGGTGTGTTGAAATGTAAAATTAGTTAATAGAGCGATTTTCAATTNAAAAAAACTCGAAGCATATTAGATTGTGTTATCAGCAAATACATCCCATTTCGTGTCGTGTTAAAATTTTCTCAAACCAGCATTTGCAGATAACTCACACAAGTACACTTTTAACCACTAAATTTATTATATTGGTGTGTTGAAATGTAAAATTAGTTAATAGAGCGATTTTCAATTGAGTGTCGCAAAACCAAAACCAAAGTAATCACCCTCGCCAATCACAAACGCCATAAACATTACAGTGAGCCAATCAAAACTCAAAGTAATTACATGTAGCAGACGCAAAGCGCGGGAAAACGTGTGCGAGTGAGTTACGATTGCTTTTGGTTTTACTTCTGATTGGATGAAAAATTGGCGCGAGTTTTTTAAGCCAATCGCGTAGCGTAGTAAGCGCAAAACCAATCACTTTCCGACACTCAAATGAAAACCGCTCTATTACCACTTGAATTGGTTAACTTTTACATATAGCGTGTAATATGTTTTATTTACTGGGGTATATTCGAAGAAATGTAACCGTAATTGCGCTTTCTATTGAGCTAATTTATTCCGAAATATTGGCCACCAGAAGTGTAAAAGTATTCAAGTATTTCGGTATTCAATAAAGTTGTAACTTACAATTTTAAACTAAAACTGGCAACACTTGTGATGTTGACTCGTGTTTGCTGAGGCCTGGTTCACAATAGCACCTCAAGCGCTTATGTCGGTAAAGTGAACATTACATAAAGACAACGAAAAAATCAGTCTTTTCCTCATGTCGTTACCTCATGTTGCTATTATGTCAGGATGTTCACACTGCAAACATAACGATATCTTATCGTTATCTCATCTTCTCGTCTAATCTCATCGTCCTTATGTCGTTATGTCGCTAGTGTGAACTAGGCCTCGCAGTAAGTATCAACGTGAAATGATTGCAACTGAACTTACGTGAATCTCTACCATCCTCTGCATCCCGTCTGACAGAGAAGGTGCTTCAGGAACTATGAATGTTGCACGAGACATTTGCTTACAGCGCCTTTCAATAACATGCGGACTCTAAAATTCAAAGCTCAACCGACAAATGCGTTTTTCGCTACCGTCAATCAAATGTTCGGCGGTTCCTCCCAGTTTCCAACTACTGCCGAGCTCGCGGTAATCAAATCGTTGAGCACAGTTCAGACAACGAAACTGCTCGGCAGTAGTCGGAAGCTGGGAGGAGTCGCCAAACATTTGACTGACGGTAGCGAAAAACGCATTTGTCGGTTGAGCTTTGAATTTTAGAGTCCTCATGTTATTGAAAGGCGCAGTAAGATAACACCCCAAAGCAAAGCATTGAAAATTAGTGTCAGAGTTGCAGTAATCCTGGTGAAAAGTAGCACCCACTAGAACTTGTTTCCACTTCGTGAAACACTTGCTGAAATACTCGCATTTCGGGTTGGGTTACATTAAATTCAGTGCCCGAATTCGAAACGTCAGCATTGCTTAGAATAAAGGCGTTTGACAACCTGTGCAGCTTTTTGTTGTTATTTTTTCGCAAAGGATCAAATTTCGTTTGTTACTGTCACTTTGTACGATTGGTCAGAGCAGTGTTCCATTATGAAAACAATCGACCTTTCTGTTAACCAAAAAGGCGCTTCGATCCCCAGTACTGTAAGAGCATTTTGTATTTGAACATGTTTCTATAGAGCAGTTGAAAAGTACTATCGGCATACACGAACTCCGCAGTACACGTATGATTTCAGCTCTTCGAGGCTAAAACCCCGGGGCTAAAACGTACAAAATTGAACTAGGACAGTTGAATGTGGAATAAATGTTACCACTGGCCTATCGTTCGGTAACGTATAAAAGTTGGCAGTCAGTCACATATTAAACCAACACCCCAGTAGTTAGACTGATAGCCTGTATTCTATTATTCGGTTTCCATTTCTGCATTCTGATTCTCACTGGGTTCGTTTTCACTGGGGGCTGTCTCGGTGGGTCCCTCGGCTAATGTTTCTTGAGGTTCCTCTTGATAAAGTGCCTCAGACGAAGGCGTGTCTTGCGATAGTGGCGCAGTTACTAAATCTTCATCGTCTTCGTTAGGTGACAAATCTTTGACAGAGCCAAGCAAGTCATTCTCCTCTGTTCCATTCATATCTCTGCGTTCTGTTTCGGGAACGTTTTCATTCTGAGGTGTGCTGTCTGTGGTGTTGTCGAGCCCGGCCGTTTCAGTATTCGCCATTTCAATGTCCTCCGGTTCCACACGCTCTTTCGCTAAAGGCAACGAAGTCGACTCTTTATTATTAGCATGTGTTTCTGCACTATTCAGAGTTTCCTGTCCGTCATCGTTGGGTAACTGAATGTTCCTATCTACATTGTCGTCTTCCATTTCAATATCGCCGTTTGCCTGACCGGATGAACAATTTTCTACCTCGGCGAGATTTCTCGCTGTGTTGTTGTTGTTGTCGTCGTCTTTGGCGATTCCGACGTCATCAGTGGAGGGTTCAGTCCCTTCTGTGGCTCTGGTTTCATCATCTAAAATGGCGACAAATAAAGTACTTTTCAGCAAGGCTTAATTGAGGAGTACAATAC